AACCAACCTGCCAAGTAACCAACCCACCAGCCAGCCAAGCAACCAACCCACCAAATAGCAGCTATCCACCTACCCAACCCACCAGCCAACCAATAAACCAACCCACTATAACCAACCAAACTCACCCAACTACCAACCAACCAACAAGTCAGTCTAATCAATCAATCAATCCACTAATTAAGCCAAAAATAGATAAATCAATTTCTTTTATAGTACCTGGACTCCAGGGTACAGTGCATAATAGCTCATTTCAAATCTGACTTGATCATTACCCTTAAAAAAAATAAACATAAAAAATGAAAACCATGTGATTTGACTTGGCTCCTTTTAAAAGGAAATGAGTCAATTTTAAAAGATTTTTTATGTGATCATCCAAGCCTAAAGGCACCAATATCTCAGCTACAGGCGGCACTATAAGAAACCAATGTTTGGTGAAATGGTATTTGCCTAGTACACTATGATGTTCATTTAAAATTCTGAATTTTCTGACATCATCACTTCAGGACACCACTATCGGTCATTCACTAGAGCGGATTTCGTATGAGTGGGACACCGTTACCGCACGGTTACCGTACAGTTACCGGACCTTGCCTTCACAATTTTGGTGAACCAATGGGGCACTAGAATTTGGTTACAGTACGATTACGGACACAGTACAGTACCGTCCGTTTCCCACTCATACGAAATCCGCTCTAGTATAATTTATAGCAATGATAACCTACCTTTCCTGTTGCACCATGGGATACATAGCCTGCATTTTCCTTTAGAGCAATTTCTATTTGTCTTTTGGCAATGCATGGTCGAGCAATTGCTACAAACAATTATAATTTTAATTGATGATCTGCAACTATAGATACTTGTACTATAAAAATTGGTATATAACACAAGGTTTTACAGGTCAATTTCAAGAGTGGCACTATGAGATACATGACATAGAAATAAAGGAAAGTTAAYATAGTGCTGTAGAAGGAATTAACCCAACCCAGCTCGCTGTGATTCGAACTGCTGACCCTCGGACTACCAATGCTACCAGCTGATAAAAGCATCAAGCACAGTTGTGCCATCCTTTGCCCTTTGGATTGTTTTTTTTTTTAAATTTTCAGTGAAAGAAAGGTTTTATTACACTTATAGAAAATTCTTACGCAGCACAACCCCTATAGCAATATTATTATGGTGTTATGTCACTCTTATAATCATTATCATCATCAAAATTAAAACACCAATAAATAGCAGTAATAATAATGTATCATGCATTTATCATCCAACCATTTAATATTCATACTCACATGTGCCCAACAAATATCTGTCCTCGTAAATTGCATTAGCTTGAATTGCTGGGAAAATAAAGTCTTTGACGAATTCTTCTTTAAGATCTTCAATATAAACCTATGAAAATCAAATTCATTAAAATCAAATATTAAGAATTTATTAATTAAATAATGAAAATTATCAAACCTTTTTAGCGCCAAGTTTGAGAGCTTTTTCTCTTGCGGCTTCGAAATCTTCGTCTTGACCAACATCGGCCTGAAGAGAAGTGTATAATATAGCTCAAAACATTTCTGTAAAATTCGCACTTAAATATCAAATTAGAAGTTATTTCGTAAAGCACGGTATCTGAATTCTACATAGATTACATCATCCTTGAAAACAGTCTATTTTGTGAAGTCCAAAGTGGAGAAATATTAACGCCTGAAACCTCCGAGAGCCATTACATRTAAGACATACACAGGGACCCCAATTCCTAGGACATGTTGACAGGTCACTGACACAGCTCCAAAAGAAATCAGTAGTGTCTTAAATACTGATCTAACAGCTGAAATAGATTAGATAAAAACGCTCTTAAAAATGTTTACATTCAAATAGACCACGAAAAAGACCATCTTGATTAATAATATATTAAGTACAAGTGATCACGCTAGTCGGAAGACATTTTTTCTCAATGAAACTCGAACTTGTACCTTAAGTATAGCAATTAAAACTTATAGGCAATTAAAATTGTTAAGAAAAAAGGGAAAAAAAGAACGAATTAAATCATAACTACAAATCTGATTTCAATATAAAAACACTCAGTTTGCTGAAGAAGGTCGAAGTGCCGAAACGTTCAATAAAAAGTAGAAAACCTAGTTACAAGTTGCGTGGCTTTTTCTTCAATTTATTCTATTTATATGCAGAAATTATGACCACTCTGACTCATATTTCAACTATATATAAAATATATCAGAAATTATGGGATATGGTCACTGATATTTTTTTGAAGTTGCCTATAGGATCAGTAGTATCTAAAAAAAATGTCAGCGATGATATCCCATACTTTCTGATATATTTTATAGTTGGAATATGAGTCAAAGTGGTCAGAATTTCTGCATATTGCTGTATATTAGCTTATACAGTGAGACAGTAATTTTTAGCTTTTTTCGGTTTGATTGCATCACCCTCGTGTACCCTGAAAACCTTTAAATTTTGGTAGGTGCCAAAAAAAATGGAAAAATGTAAGCTGACGTCGCAAAATAGAAAATATCTAAATACTGAGTAGTATCCTTTTCATATTTTCAAAAATAAAAAAGGGATGGTAAATTGACGGATTATTAGACTTCACTTTTGATTAAATTATGCTATTTAATTTAAGAAATGATTTGCATTGTTAGGGTCCAGTGAACGTCTCATTTTTAAAAACGAAGTGATCAAATCAACCATAACTAAATCTAAGACTAGTCGTGCTGTAATCAAAGAAAAAAAAGGAAAGATCAACGTAAGGGCAAGATTTGTTAATTGATTTAACCCCATAAAAAAAGTTAAAAATACTTGAACTTAGCAACGTCCACAAGATGATGAAATATCTGCACTGGTGTCATGGTACTATAAGGACGCTATAAAAAGCAACTGATTCAGCAAACGCTAATTTTCACACTAACCATGTAAGCTATTACATCAAATCCTTCTTCTTGAAGCCAAACAAGAATACATGAAGTATCTAAACCACCGCTGTAAGCCAGAACAACTGTTTTATTGGACATTTTGAAAAATTCCACTTCTCTTTCAAGTACACGTTGACTTTGGTCTGAAAATATGTTTATGAGTAAGGTCGTGTGTGATTGGACAATCATGTTTTGCGGGTTCTTAGCCAATAAGAAGCTTTTATTAATTTTCAAGAGTAACGCTTCTCTGTGGATTTACGTGATTTTTGTGGGCTTTTTTTTTTTGTTTTTGTTTTACATCTAATGAAATTTCGGACTGTTTAAACAGCTTTTTAGGATTTCATTACATTTTTTTTCAGATGGCACATTATTTAATTCATAGTATTACATGTAAACCCGTTGTTTATATTTAATTTTTGAAGAGCAAATCAAGCAAAGAGAAGAACCAGTCCCAACATCTCAAAACAAGCAAATATGGTATATATTTGTTAGAAAATCAAAATCAAAATAAAACTAAAGAACAAATAAAGAACAAGAATGATAAAATAAGTTAGCCTAAAGTTAGCCTAATGTAGTACAACAATGCGTCGTCGACTGGAAGGGTGTGACGCGCAACAAGAACACTGTCCTGAACAAGAACACTGTCCTTTTTCTGCATGAGTTGTTGACTTTTTGTTGTTTCTTTTTTTATTTTGTTGTTTGACCCTTACCAGTGGTAATACACTTACAATTATAAAATGGTAAACTTTCAGACAAGATAAGAAAATAATTTCCTTTATTCATTTTTGATTACATAGTGTCAAAGTATAAAAATTGTCACACAAATTGCTATGGCGGGTGGATGAAGAAGCATTTCAGAGTACACACAGACTAAGGGGCGATCCATTTGACTTTTGAGGGGGGGAGGATGGAAGATTTTGAAATAAAATTTTCTGCACGGCCCGAAGGTCCGAAAAAAGTTCCTGCAAGGCAAAATTTTGAAAAATCTCCACTAAAGAGCTTTTGTAAATAAAAAAAAAAAAATGTAAGCGCGCGCCTAAAGTCCAAAAAAATTCTTGCACCACGGCAACTTGATCTTCGATCCCCCCTCTGAAGTCTAATGGATTGCCCCTAAAAGCAAGGCTGATTGTGTACAGTTGAAATGTGTAGACCCCCTCTGCATCCAACACTACGTCATTTTGATTAATAAATCTAATTAATCATAAGAATTTTATCAATTAATCAATTAATTAAATTCAACAATTAAAGCGTATTTATCTAAACTATAAATGACTATATTCTCTGTGTCTTAATAATTACGTCCTACTAAATAAAAATAATAACTTTTAGGGTGCGCTGTTTTTTTGCGTCCACCATTTWATCAAATTTCAAATTGTTTACCCCAGTATTCTTCCKATTATTTCAACCGTTAAAAACTGGGTCGAATCRTGTATGTGACAAACATTTCTTTCATAACACTTCCCTTGATGAAACGCAAACAGATAGTCTATGACGTGAATGATTACGTATGGGTCTCCGGTTTTTGCGCATTTAAAAATTTCAATATGATAGAAAAACAATATTCATTGCATAAAAGCGTTAAAATATTACACTCAATTGCATAAGTGCAATTTTTTTTGCTTTCATTTAAAAGCATATAAAAWGTAAAGTAAGAAAATTAGGGATGGCACTCTATATTAACCCTTCGAACAGCCAGCCCCAGTGCTTGATACTCCCACACTTAATATTTTTGAGAATAATTTTGACCGCTCTTCACCTAARCTTTTTGAGGTAGGAAAAGCTAGCCTCCTGAGAAAGAGCGAGGACCAGACTATTCAAAGCTCATAGAGTGCTTGAAAATAGAAATCAAGCCAGGGACACAGGAGTGACACTAGGCTTGCAAACTAAGCACCCATAATTCCCTCCCCACAGAATGTAATTCGATTGTAAAGCCGATAATTTTTTTCATATATCGGTAGCTAAAAACTATCAGGCAATATTATTGTATTATAATGAATAGTGAGCTTCAAAGCGTGATAGTATACTGATGTTTACCTGAAGTGCGAAAATAAAACACTGAAACAAAAGTATTCACTGGAAAAAATCTCGCGCTTTAAAAGGTTGTAAATTTGATGTAAATATGATGTAAGTGTCCAAAATTCTGTAAATCTAATGGGAATCATTTACATCAAATTTACAGAAATTTGGACACTTACATCATRTTTACATCAAATTTACAACTTTTAAAACGCGCGATTTTTTCCTGTGGTAACGGCGAGCTTTTCACCCTAATGCTTTTTCCTTCGTCACTATAAAATGAGTCTACGTCAATCTTGTTGTCAAACATGCCCTCTACATTCAACTACGAATCGTAGAGTGAACACGATAAATCCGTGAAATCRTTCAATTTAGTAAGTGGAGTTTAAAGGACAATGGTGATTCAAAGGAAGTTYCGCTTCAGTTACACATTTAGCGGAAATTTGTACTATTGATTTTGCAACAATTCATCACGGATTATATGCGTTCGCTCTACAAAGTTGAACGTATTTAAATAACTTCTATCCGAATTCCAGTGTTTTATCGATTAATACTCCTTGCATGGTGCATTTTGTCTTTTACTTTTATGGATTTCATTCGTCCGCCATCTTGCCTACTCAGCATTTGCTGGCGTCGTTGTCCGGTTGTAAGGTYAATGTCCCTCCTTGGCCAATCGTCTCGCCGCCAGTCTCAGAAATATCATCAAACTGTTCCCACTCCTGCTTACCCCCAGGGAGAATGTCCGCTGGATTCTCGTATTCCGGCTCACCTCTCGCCGTAGGTACGTCGTATACATGCCTGGGACCAATATTGTCATATTGACTCTGTGGATAAGAATCTTGGCTTGATATATTGGAGGCTGGGAAGACGTCGACGTAGGGGTTTTCCGGCATTGGCTCCTTCTCTGTAAATGTGATTCCTTTAGCGTCCAAGTCATTCCCATATAGSGGGTTTTCCATGGGTGTTGCGTCACTGGCGTCGTATTTGGTACTAGTTGTTTGCATAGCAATGTCACCTCCCYTCTTCATTGGCGATTCGAAAGAGGCGGGATTCACTTCGAACCCAGGATTGGAAAACGTTCCAACATCGCCGTGAGGTCGCCTTATGCTTTCCTGGTTGTGTAGCGTTGGGTATCTATTGCCATGGCGGAATCTGAGAAAACCCATAAATTACGTTTTAGACATAACAAAGTAATGGAATAATATAAATTACTACATTGATATTTTTTTTGTATACGTTCTTTTTCTTTGAAAATTCTTGCTCCAAGTTAAGTACCGCATGATGTTGTCTTTCCTCGATGAATTTCGACCAAACTTTGGTAATAGTTAGTCAATACCTCTAATATTATGTCCCTGAGATATTGCGGAAAAAAATAGGCTTAATTTGTTTGAAATAGCTGCAAAAGCGTTTTCCTGGATTTCCCCATAAAACGCATAAATTAAATCCGATTTTCCAAAAATTTACTCAATATGAATTTGAATCCCTTGTTAATTATGTAGTAAAATATTATTACGATCTGACCAACTTAAATTACTTTTTGATCCGTTTCTTTCGTCCCGGTCGGTGTTCTAAACAACTGTATCCAGATACCTTAAAGGTTGTAAATTTGATGTAAATATGATGTAAGTGTCCAAAATTCTGTAAATTTGATGTACATGATTTCCATTAAATTTACAGAATTTT